CGCCGATTACAGCAAGTACTATTTTGAAGATCCGACTGTCACGGCTCAAAGATAAGTGCATTGCTAAGGGTGCGCCAACAGGTTACGTCAAGCTGGCCTACAGCATGTGGCGCGCCCCGCGGATCCTCAGGTTGCAAGGGCATCACGGCGATTCGGTTCTTTTTCCAGAGATCGGACCCCCTGCAGGTGACGCGTGCTGTGACATACCGATCAAAGTTTGGGCTGTTGCTGGGTTTGATTGGCTGGTTGAGCGACAAGCCTGGATGACTTTTCGGAGTTACATCGATGATAGCAGTCTGAGGTTACCCAGCAGCAGTCCAGAAGTTTTGGTACAATTGGCGGCCCGTGCATACCGTGACTTTGTTGAGACCTCTATATGATAGAAGCCACCATCAATGATAAGCTGGTGGTGGTTGGCAGTTCACTATCTTTGGCCAGAAAAGTTGCGACAGCTGCTGGGCTACCACAAGAGGTGGCCAAGCAGAATACGGTGTACGGTGGCACTGGCATCAGTGGGGGCATGCGTCGTGGTGCTGTGGGTGCCAATAAGCAGAGGCAAAAGCGTGGTTCGAAAATGATACGACGACTGCGTAAGCTTCGACGTTTCCGCAACGCTTTTGCTGGTGTGGACAAGGCCCTGGCGTGCGGGAAGATCGTCAACGTTTGTATCACTCCTGAAGCATGTTACGGTGCAGAGATTGCTGGCATTACCTGCACATGGAGGAGCCAGCTTGACGGCCAAGGTGGTGCTCAACGGCGGCTCGTCGGCGAAGCTTGGAGCCGCACCTGAAGCGCAATGGTGCCGCATGCTGTGGGTTGCCAGCACCAGTCCCCGCGCCATGATCAGTGCACAGCGGCTCCTGCAGCTGTGGAAGGAAGTGCGGCCAGAGAGTGATCCTGAGCTGAGTTGGGCCAACAGCAGAGGGCCCATACGTCGAGCCGTGCTGGCGGCGCAGCGAGCAGGCTGGGCAGTGACGTTGGCGACGAGGTGGACTGATCATCGAGGCTGCGAGGTGGCCATTGGTCAGATATCACCAGGCTTGCTTGGTCAGTTGCTGAGCGCAGGCATACAGCGCAAGCGTGAGATAGCACTAGCAGCGAAAACGAGTGAGCCTCGAGCGAGCCCCGATGAGCCCATTATGATGCGGGCCTCTTTTGATTCCACCAAGCGGGTGATGGGCCCAGCGAGCAAGCGATGCAGTACGCATCAGAAATTATTGATCAGTTGCTGTGCCTGCGATGGTGTTTGGACGCGAAATCGCGCGACGATAGCTGGCTACTTGACGGATGGTCTTTGCGAGCGCGGGCGCGAAGATACCATCAAACACCGTCTGTATGAATGTCAGCTCGCAGCAGTAGCAGCAGCACGAGAGGAAGCGGATATACCTGCAAGTTTCATGCAGGCAGCCATCGAGTCCGATGGTCGGATCTTCACTCGTGATTTGTGCCTGCACAATGAACATGATATTTCTCCCCCTTCCTGTTCCTCTGAGGTTCTGTTGGGGGATGGGGGTGGGAACTCTCTCGACATTCAGCCCGGAGAATTAGCAGGCCTGTCTGGCCCCCCAGTGCTCGAGCTTGCAGTTGATGGCTCGTGTTCCAAGCCAGGATTGCGAGAGCTCGAGCGAGCGACCTGGTCCCTGGTTGTACAGGCGCCAGGTGACCAGATTGTCGGGGTCATGAAGGGAGCAGTGCCAGGCCATCTGCCTCAGACTCCCAGCGTTGCCGAGAATGTAGCCTTGAGTATCGCAGCTCAGATTGCTGACAGAGCATGCTCTGTTGCAGCTGGCTGCATGAGTACTATCAGGCAGTTCGACAATGCTGTTGATAGGCAGATGGGAGCTTCCAATGTTTTTGGTTTTGCTCGCACGTTTGCTCATTCCCTGCCAGGGCGCATGCATGTGACGGCTTTTCATGTCAAAGCCCACCGAAGTATGCAGATAATTGATGAATTAGATGAAGTTGAAAAGCGCCTGGCTTTGGCCAACTGTCGTGACGATCGAGAGGCGAAGAATGCTGCTCGCCTTCACTCCGCTCCTAGCCCTGCCCTCTTCAGAGATCTTGAGTTAGCAGAGGGGCGAGCGCTCAACTTTGCCAAGGTTGCGGCTGCGGTGCTGCCCCTCTGTGAAGATGCAGGGGCCTAGCGCTGGCAGCGACCTCTGTCTTTCGGGAAGAGAGCGAGGCGGGCGGTGAGGACTGGGTGGCACGACTGGGTATGGGGTGAGCTGGGATGGCAATGTGTGCAGCGCTTCTGCGTTGGTCCCCAGGTAGGAAACCTGCCGATAACAGGCTGCCAGGGGGCGCCCAAGCTTTTAGAGCAGTTAACCCTCCAGGATTTTGGACATAGGCTGGTTGCAGTGTCAGGTGCCAGGCTTGCGTCAGCGCGAACCACATCTGATCTCCAGCGGGCCCAACTCCTGCGTGTTAAATGTGGTGTTTGGGGCCAAGGGAAGGCCGTCAAGCTCAAGAAAGAACGCAGGCCCCCCACGCGAACAGGGGGCTAGGTTCTTTCTAGATTCAGGCGGGGTTTTGCTCCCAACCCCAGAGTCCGAGCGGCTCTGGATGCAGCAATCCCTGCCGGCAGTGTTCAGGTGTGTGTCACATCCAGGCGCCAGGCCCAGACTACGCAGGTGGTCGATGACCTGGGCGCCAAGGCCGAGTACGGCTACGAGATCAGGATGAAGGCGCTGTACGACAGAGTACGACAGAGTACGGCACCGAGTACGGCCGAGGAGGATGAGGCTCCTCTGCCCCCCCCCCCCCCCGCCTGCCCCCCAACTCGTTTTTGTTTTTTCGGCCCCTGGCCATTCGACCGCGACTCGATCGTCAGGCGGCGTCCTATCCTATCCTATCCTATCCTATCCTACCCTATCCTACCCTATCCTATCCTATCCTATCCTATCCTCCTCCTCCTCCCCCTCTTTTCTTCTCCTCTAGGGGGGCGCCCCGCGTTCGGTCCTGCATGCGCACCTTTCCGCAGGGGCCCAGCGGGTTGCCAGCTCAGGTTTCAGACTAGCAGCGGCTAGCCCCCGAAGCGCCTTCACATTGTTTTATATTCCTTCTCCTACTCCTCCTTATTCTTTCTCTTTGTCTTATTATTATTATTCTGATTCTTGGTATTATTTTTTCTTATTATTATTAGTATTATCAGTGTGATTATTATCATTATTTCCAATAGTAGTTTTCATGTTCTCCTTCTTATTCTTAGTATTCTTGTTATTCTCTTGGTTGTCTTATTCGTATTTTTCTTCTTCTTCGTTTTTTTTTCTTCTTCTTCTTCTTCTTTTTCTTCTTCTTCTTCTTTTTCTTTTTCTTATTATTATTCGTTTTCTTCTTCTTATTCGTATTATTATTCTTCCTCTCATCAGTAGTATTATTATCCTCCTCCTCCTCCTCCTCCTCCTCCTCCTCCTCCTCCTCCCTCCTTCTCTCTGAAGCGACGGCCGCCCCTCCTCCCCGAAGCCTTGAAGTTGCGCGCAGGCTCGTCTCTCGACTGTTGGCCTGGCCCTCCCCCTGGCCTTCGCCAAGAGGGAGGGTGGCACTTATAGCCGCCGCCGCCGCCGCCGCCGCCGCCGCCGCCGCCGCCGCCGCCGCCGCCGCCGCCGCCTCCTCCTCCTCCTCCATCCTGCCTCCTCCGCCTATCGCTCTCCTCCTCCTCCTCCTCCTCCTCCTCCTCCTCCTCCTCCTCCTCCTCCTCCTAAGGAGGAATCCTACAAGACTTGTCCAACATAAGGCGACACCCTGTTCAACATCGGAGCGCTCGGTAGCTTGGGTACTTGTCGGAAAACGCGTTCTTCAGTGTGGTGAGGGTGTTGCCAGATTTCGGACAACCCTGCGTCTGGACCAACAGTCGCGTGCCGGCCAGCGTTGAAGCAGGGCCGACCACACAGGCACCGACATCGATATCCGTCAGCCTATGCTTGACGAGCCTCGCGGGAAAAAGGTGGCCGCCCGAGGCGGAGAGGAGGGGTGGACGACGACGGCGGAGGACTGCTCCAGGTGAAACAAGGGGGGGGAGGGCCGAGGCGGTGCGGCAGGGGGCCCGCCCACCCGCACCCCGTGGTGTGGAGCCCAGGGGATGGCAGCACCCCAGGGCCCTCAGGGAGCGCCCAGGCGGCGCAGACAAATGATTGCGGCACGGGAGGGGGGCCGGGGGGGGGGAGAGGAGGGGAGGGGAAGTCTGCGGGCCCCCAGATGCTGGCAGGCTGCGCGGCGGGGGCGTGGAAGCCGCTTCCCTGGGTGGGGCTGGGCCTGCGGCTGGCGACCCACCTCCCGCCCGGTGGGGGCAGTCGTCCTGCTGTGGGTTTCCTGTAATTCGGAAGTGTGGGAAACTTGGAATCACAACAAGATATAAAGATTGTGGTGACTCCAGGTTTCCCATCATTCGCAGGCCTTCGGAGGGGCTTTCTGGCCGCAATTAAATTTGGGAGGGTCGGCAGACGCCGGCAGGCCTGACCTCGTCTCCGGTTGCCAGGTGGCCCTGGCAGGCTCTGTGAGAGCGAGACATGGCCGGGGCCACGAGGCTCCGTGGTGCCGAGCGCCCTTGTGCGATTTCTATGCGGACTTGGCGCGGCCGCTCTGAAAGCCGTGGTGATTGCCAGCGGATTCCCGTCACTGGGCAGCTTTGCTCTCGTCTCGCAGGGTCCTCCAGGGTGCCTCGACATCTACTCGACATGTCGTCTTTATTTGATCAATAGGATGCCGGGTACTCGTAGGACGAGCACAAGAACAGCATGACGCACAAAGAGCAAGAGGACCGTGACAACCAAGACGGCACGAGATGATGGGCATGACGAAGCACCTCCAGACGAGAGATGCGGCAGCACGTGCATGTGGCGAGGCATGTTGGGTAGCTGGTGAGGGGCGCAGGGGAAGCAGGGGGGCTGAGGTGCACGACGCGAAGGATGCGACGCTCAGTTAGAGGGAGGGAGGGGGGGGGGCGGGCCGGGAGCCGGAAACGAGACCACCTCGACCTCGCACCCTTCCGTCGATCCCTGGAGGCGGCGGCACGCCACGCGCCTGCGCCCCCGCACGGCGATGGTGGTGCCGGACAGTCCACGGCAGAGCGCGGTGCCCCAGATGTCGCAGACGAAGAGTCGATCGCCTTGCCGCTCATAGAGTCTCAGGCGTCGGCGTGGCGCCCACCAGAGGCTTTCTTGTGCCATTCTATGTCGTTGTCCCGCCCCCCTCTCTCTCTCTCTGGCTTTGCCTTCCCTCCTTCTCCTTGAAAAAGTCTGTCTCCCTCCCTTTCCCTTTCCCTTTCCCTCCCTCCCTCTCGCCTTTCCTTTTTTTGTTTTGTTTCTCTCTCTCTCTCTCTTTGTCTTTGCGTATGTGAATATTTCTGGATTGCTTCTTCTGTCTCCCTCTCTCTATGTCTGCCTGGCTATCTTTTATGTGTGTGGCTTTCTGCTTATCTCTTTCTTTATGTCTCTCTCTCTCTCTTTGTGTCTCTCTCTCTCTCTCTCTCTCTTTCTCTCTCCCTCCCACCCAACCCTCTCTCCATTCCTCTCGTTCCCGCCCCTCATGTGTCTTCCTCTATCTAGTCTGGATCCCCCCTCCCTGAGTGAGGTCGCACCTCCCGTCTTCGACAGCCCTGCAGTGCTCCGACCATGCGCAGCCATCGGGTATGCAGGTGCGAGTCCTTGTCGCGCGGAGGGAAGCGCTACAACCCACCCGCGCAGCCTTGCAGGCCAGGGGCCCTTCCGCGCGACAGCGGCGCGGTGGCACTGTGAGTGCACGGCAGAACGGACCACCCGTGCAGGCGTGGGTGCGAGTCCGCGCTGCCGTTGGACTGTGTGCAGATGGGTTGCGCTGCCCCTTCCGTGGGCTGTGCCGGTTGTGCCATCCATGGGTGGCGCCCCAGGTTCCACCATGGGGTTGACCATCCATTGGATGCGCCACAGGATTTTCTCCACTGGTTGCGCGCTCGGTGGCCGAACATGATCCTTCTCCATCTGCTCCTCTTTTCTCTCGTTGCCCAACCCGAGAGAATTATCAACTATCCCCTCCCTTCTGGTCATGTCCAGTATTGGGGCGCCTCGTGCAGCGTTGGTTCCCATGCAAGATTTCACTCCCCTGTGCTGCTGGTATGCTTTTCTGCTCGGATCGTCTTCGGCATGGTCTTCCTTTCAGTCGACCCGCATGGTAAGGATGGGCACCCTTCCCAGGGGTACCCTTGCATCCTTGCCTCCTCGGTCCATCCTTGGCCACTTTCGCTGGCCGCGCCCGCTCGCAAGGTGTCGGCATGGCCCTCGAAGGCCCTTGCGTCCTCATCGCGCATCCTTGTGATACGTGCCGACTGCACGTGCTCTTCCACTCGAGTGGTTCTCGGCCGTTCGATCAAGTTTCCGTGCGTGGCGTCGCCTCTCCCGCGCGTGCAGCGGTGCCGCCGCGGGCCCCTGCGGCGCTCAGGCACGTCGTCGTCCCAGCACGGCGCGGGCAGCGGTTCTTTGTTGTCGATCTCGTTCTCGACTTCGGATGCTTTCACGTAGCGAGCGGGCGTCGTCGTTCGTCGTTGTCGTCCTCCTCCTAGTCCTCCGCTTCCTTCTCCTCCTCCTCCTCCGCCTCCTCCATCTGTTCGCTTGGCCTCTAGCCCCTTGCAAAGGTGATTCAAGGATCAAAGTCTGAGTCGACACTTGGGTTGGCGAATGGGACAATGTTGAACACACTTGGAAGGGATAAGAGGGAGATGTAGGATGTCAGACGTGGCGCGAGCTCACGTAGCTTGTCCGCACTCAGCTCTCCTCTCTCATCCCCGGGTTTCCCATTCCATACCTTCATTTGTTGAATGATTACCAGCCTCAAGCATGTCAACGTTTTCAAGAACCCTGGCAACTTACTGGGCCAGCGGCGGTGTGCCCCCCCCGGCTTAAAGGAAAGGTCCCCAGAATCGTCAAAGTAGTCGACCAGCCTCAGCTCGTAGCCACTCTCTTCGAGGGCCAGCTGGGAGGTATATCGCCCCCCTGGCTTATGGACAAATCTCTCCCTCTGTCTTGTAGCATTTTGAAGAGCACCTCGCTCCTCCTGGGCACCCTCGTAGAGGGCCAGTAGAGTGTCACACCCCTCTCCCATTCGAGTTTTCCCGTCCTCGGAAGTATCGACGGCGTTGAGCTCCGGGGAACCATCTTAGAGGGCCAGCGAGAGAGTGATTCCGAACGGTTCGGACGCACCTGAACATTTTTCGAAAAGGTTCCAGAACCTCCGCTTCCGTTTTTTCTCCAAACCAGAATACCCACCGACCATTCTGACCACCATACAGACCCGTTCTCTAGCCACGCTCAGCCGTCACGAGGCGGGGGTGCGCCCTTCACCCCAGAGAGCGGCGAGGAGAAGAATGAGGAGGGAGGAAGGGAAATTGGATAGGGAGGGAGAGGAGGATGATGAGGTGAGAAAGAGGGAGATGGGATCGGCGGGAGGGCGAGGATGAGAAGGCGAAGAGAGAGAGAGAGAGAGGGAGAAAGGTGACGCAGAACAGAAGGAGGACAAGTAGGAGGAGGAGCTGGAGGAGGAGGAATAGGAGGAGGAGGAGGAGGAATAGGAGGAGGAGGAGGAGGAAGAGGAGGAGGAGGAGGAGGAGGAGGAGGAGGAGGAGGAGGAGGAGGAGGAGGAGGAGGAGGAGGAGGAGGAGAAGGAGGAGGGCAAAGTATCGGGGCGGATGTGGGAGACCCTCTGCCCCCCCTCCGGACCCCCACCGCAAGTGCTGCTGCGGCTCCGGATCGTGATTCCCCGGAGGCCTCCGCAGGCCTCAGGAGGCCCGGCAGGGGGGGGGGGCAAGAGCTCGTGCCCCCTGGACCCTCGAGAGGGCCGAGGGCAGAGCTGCCTCCCCGCTCTGTTTTTCGGGGGCTCCTCCCACTCTGCTTTTCGTTGCCCTTTTCCCCCCTGTTCGGGAGCCCCACCCCTCCCCCCTTTCTAGGACCCCCCCCTCCCCCTTTCCAGTTGCAGGACCCCCGCTCTTTCCCCACCGTTTTGAATCGAGGGCTTGCGCGACATTCCTCCTCCTCCCAGCTCCTTCTCCTCCCCGCCTCCCTCCTCCTGCCCCCCGTCTCGGGTTTTCTTCCCACCCCGAGTCGTCCAGCAGCGGCCGCGGCTGCCACGGCGGGCGGCGGCTAGCGGCAGCCCTCGCCGGAGCGGCGCTCGCGGCGGTGCTCGGCCGGTCCGCCCTGGCGCCGCTGGCCTCGCTGGCGGGGTGGCGCGCGGCGCGGCCACAGGCTGGGCTGGCCCTCGCTTGGGAGGGGAGAGGGGAGGTTCGAGGGAGGAGTCTCGCCCTCGCCCATTCCTCCTCCTCCTCCTCCTCCTCCTTACCCTCCTCCTCTTCCTTCTCCTCCTACTACTCCTACTGGTATTGCTACACCTCGTCTTCACCTCCTCCCCCTCCCCCCTCCTCCCCGCCCTCTCTCCGTCCTGTCCTGCGGTAAGGACGGCGGACTGGGATGGAAGGGGATGAGAGGGCGGAAGGAGGGAAGCGAGGGGTCGGAGGAGCGAGCGGGGAGAAGGGAGAAGGGGAGGGAGCTGGGATTCGTAGTAGTAGTAGTAGTAGTAGTAGTAGTAGTAGTAGTAGTAGTAGTAGTAGTAGTAGTAGTAGTAGTAGTAGTAGTAGTAGTAGTAGTAGTAGTAGTAGTAGTAGTAGTAGTAGTAGTAGTAGTAGTAGTAGTAGTAGTAGTAGTAGTAGTAGTAGTAGTAGTAGTAGTAGTAGTAGTAGTAGTAGTAGTAGTAGTAGTAGTAGTAGTAGTAGTAGTAGTAGTAGTAGTAGTAGTAGTAGTAGTAGTAGTAGTAGTAGTAGTCGTAGTAGTAGTAGTAGAAGTAGTAGTAGTAGTAATAGTAGTAGTGTAGTAGTAGTAGTAGTAGTAGTAGTAGTAGTAGTAGTAGTAGTAGTAGCTAGTAGTAGTAGTAGTAGTAGTAGTAGTAGTAGTAGTAGTAGTAGTAGTAGTAGTAGTAGTAGTAGTAGTAGTAGTAGTAGTAGTAGTAGTAGTAGTAGTAGTAGTAGTAGTAGTAGTAGTAGTAGTAGTAGTAGTAGTAGTAGTAGTAGTAGTAGTAGTAGTAGTAGTAGTAGTAGTAGTAGTAGTAGTAGTAGTAGTAGTAGTAGTCGTAGTACTCGTAGTAGTCGTAGTAGTCGTAGTAGTCGTAGTCGTAGCAGTACATAGCAGTAGGAGTAGTAGTTGTAGTAGTAGTAGTAGTAGTAGTAGTAGTCGTCGTAGTCGTAGTAGTAGTAGTAGTAGTGGTAATAGTTGTAGTAGTCGTCGTCGTAGTAGTCGTAGTAATGGTAGTAGTAGTAGTAGCAGTAGTAGCAGCAGCAGTAGTAGTAGTAGTAGTAGTAGTAGTAGTAGTACTAGTAGTGGTCGTTGTAGTAGTAGCAGTAGTAGTAGTAGTAGTAGTAGTAGTAGTGGTAGTAGTCGTAGTCGCAAGCGTACTCGTAGTAGTAGTAGTAGTAGTAGTAGTAGTAGTAGTAGTAGAAGTAGCAGTAGTAGTAGTAGTAGTAGTAGTAGTAGTCGTAGTAGTTTTCGTACTAGTAATAATAGTAGTAGTAGTAGTAGTAGTAGTAGTAGTAGTAGTAGTAGTAATACTACTAGTCTTAGTAGACGCAGTCGTCGTAGTAGCAGTAGTCGTAGTAGTAGTAGTAGTAGTAGTAGTAGTAGTAGTAATACTAGTACTAGTCGTAGTAGAAGCAGTCGTAGTAGTAGTAGTAGTAGTAGTAGTAGCAGTAGTAGTAGTAGTAGTAGTAGTAGTAGTATTATAGTAGCATAGTAGTAGTGTAGTAGTAGTAGTAGTAGTAGTAGTAGTAGTGGTCGTCGTAGTTAGTAGTAGTAGTATAGTGTAGTATAGTAGTAGTACTAGTAGTAGTAGTAGTTAGTAGTCGTAGTCGTAGTAGTAGTAGTAGTAGTAGTAGTAGTAGTAGTAGGTATAGTAGTAGTATTATTATAGTAGTAGTAGTAGTAGAGTAGTCTAGTAGTAGTAGTTCGTTAGTAGTAGTAGTAGTAGTAGTAGTAGTCGTAGTAGTAGTAGTAGTAGTAGTAGTCGTAGTCGTAGTAGTAGTAGTAGTAGTAGTTGTAGTAGTAGTAGTAGTAGTAGTAGTCGTAGTAGTCGTAGTAGTCGTAGTAGTAGTAGTAGTAGTAGTAGTAGTAGTAGTAGTAGTAGTAGTATTAGCAGCAGTAGTAGTAGCAGTCGTAGTAGTAGTAGTAGTAGTAGTAGCAGCAGCAGCAGTAGTAGTAGTAGTAGTAGTAGTAGTAGTAGTAGTAGTAGTAGTTGTAGTAGTAGTAGTAGGCGTAGTCGTCGTAGTAGTAGGCTCAGGAAATCCACGCAAGTGTGCACATACCGACTAAGCAGTTGCAGTAAAGTTTCCAGTCGTCCCCGCGGCCGCGCCCCGCGGCCGTGCGCGCGCGTCTGCGCCTGCGTCCGTGGGTAAACTGAGGCATTTCCAGTTCCTACGGGCGCGGGCGCATTCATGTCGCAGGAGGACGATATGTGCGTGGAGGGCGGTGACACCGACCTGACGCAGGACACCGCCGGCCTCGACATCAGCGACGCCAACATCGCCGTCGACGAGGGTCGCCGCGATCTTCCACAGCCGGCCATCGGGAGGACAGCAGCTTCGGTGGCCAACCACCTGAATCTCTCTGAGCTGCTGATCCAGAACTGGCTGGACCAGGAGATCCTGAAACATGTCGAGCTTGTCCGGGCTATCGCGAACACGGCCCACGGTCCTGCGCAGATGGTCGTGCAATACCCTCGGTGTTGGACGTCCCTGGTGGGAGTCTTGACCAAGCTAGGCTACGCGGCGGATTCCCAGGACCCTTGGAGGACCCCCGACTTCGCGCTCTACGACGGCCCCGAGCCCACTGCCCAGGCCCTCGCCGCCCGCGAAAGAACGGCCGTGCAGCTGTGCCAGCTGAGTCTTAAGACGGATTGGTCGCCACCAGACAAGGCGAGGGCCGGCACTGCGACCCAGCACTTCCGGGACGCTGCAGCTGCCTGCACTTCGGATCTTCCAGAAGTCTTGCGAGAGCGCCGACGCCTGCGGGCAGGTAAACTCCCGCTGTGGAAAGAAACAGGACTGGAGGCGTTAGTGGTGCTCCGCGCCCAGTCCCCTGGCCAGAATGCTTGTCTTCTCACGCAGAGGCCCAGCATTCTGACACCACCGCAGGCGAGCCCCAGGGACTCGACCGCGACACGGTCAGTGGCGATGATGATGGAAAAGGGGGACGGCAACGTATGGACACGACTCGCCGGTCAGCATTTGGTCGCCTGGGTTCCAGAGGACGGCAACGCTACCTCACGCTGCCTGCCGAGCTACTACGTCGGGCAGCCGCTGGCCCTCGACCAGCCTCTCTCCGGTTTGTGGCCTCCTTTCCTTTCTTCAAGGGCGCGCACTCTGTCGAGAACGTCTTGGACAATTGGTGGTCCCCCCTTCCTTGGGGACAGCTGGGCTCCATTGGTTCGTCGCTGTGAGTCCTCGGGCCGCCCGTTGGAGATGATCATGGCGGAGCCGGCGGCCCCGCGTCACGTCAAGACGGGCCTGGCTATCTTCACGATCGCATTTGAGGGGGCCAGGGCCCCCCCGGCGATGATCCACTACCGCCAGCCCCTCCTCCAGTTCGACGACGTCATCCCCATGACCGTCGACATGCGGGTGGAGCACGCGGTGCATTTCGCTGGGAAGCTGCAGTCCAAGGAGGCCGCAACCCGCGGCGCAGCCCGACGACATCTGCCGACGTCCCACGGGCGTTCATCGACGTGATCTTCCCCAAGCACTACGCGGAGTTGGACAGGGGCCTCGTGCTGCTGGCGCTTCGCCCCCACCTGCCCACCCTCGACTTTTTGCGGCTCGCAGGTGCTTTGCGCCGATTCGGACGCGCAGATCTTGGACATCAGCAACGCGATGGGCTCGACATACTTCTGGCCCTGGTGCACGCAGATGTTGGTGCTGAGCAAGAGTCGAGCGCTGGTGCTCTCCGACGCTGCTGACGACGCGTGGATTGAGATGTTGGCGCCGCTTCGCGTCTGCGTTGGAAGCCCTCGAGGGGCGGCCGCCCTGTCGCCGCCCCCTCAGCCACCACCGGGGCTCTAGCGGCTATCCGCAGGAAGGCGCACAAGAAGCCCGCTGCCATGGACCACCTCACCGACGTCGCCATCCGAGGGGAGCTCGGGCAGGAGGACCGGGATGTTATGACCCTTTCTGATGCGACGCTTGTCGTCGGACACGGGGCTCGCCATCTCGGCGAGGCTGGAGGGCAAGGCGCTATTCATTGGTCCGAAAGATACCCGTGCCCGGGGCCGGCCAAGGTGAGATGGGCCGCCCAGGGGACTGGGCGTTTGCTACTGTGCCCGGTCAGCATGCTCCGCGCGCGCCAGCGCAGCATCCGCGTGTCAAGACGCAACGGCGCGCTCGATGATTGGGTGTCTGATTGCAGCGACAAGCGTTGGTTTTTGTTAGGACGTCTCGGGGCATCGCGGTGCGTGCGCGGCTCAAAGCCGCCCATATGTGGTGGCGCCTGTCCCCCTTGATAACAAGATGCGTTTCCTCGCCATCATCCCGGCGACCAATGCGTCTGGGCATGCCCTGAGGAACGACGTTGCAATGTCGCGCCCCCAGGGGGCCGCAGCGGCCACGTTGGGGACGGTTCTGGAGGGCATGTGATGTGCTCGAGAGCGTTTTGGGCTTGCCGCCACCTCGGCAAGGTACGGGGACCTGCCTGAAACCACCGAAACATGCCCGGACCTAGCTGGGGTGGAGCTGCGACCCCGTCGAGGTACGGGTATGTTTTTGGGTTTTCAGGGGGCAACCGTACCTAGCTGGGGCGATCCACGGACGGCCGTCCAAGGGGGGCGGCCTCTGGCGACCTCGCCCAGCGCACAGAGCCGCGATGTCTCTGCATCGATCAATTCGCGATTGGGAGGTTGTCGCGCTGTGACGTTCGCGCCAGAGTTGTTCGCATGCACCCCCGAGTGCGCGTTGATTCCTCAACGCCAGGATATGTGTATCTGGGGGCGCGCCTCCTATCCAGCTGGTCTACATCTACAGCAACTAACGCGGGGTCGGCCACTCCGCCGATTCCAGCGCACGCGCGATCGGTGCTAACGTGCGCCTCGAGAAGACAGCGGTCTGCAATGCTCGATCGGCCGTCGCTTCTACACTTGTGCAGCCGCCGTCAGCTGCGACGAACCGCCCCCCCGGACCCTTGCCACCCTGTCTAGGTAAGGGTACGGGTATCTTTCGCGCTCGAGAGCTATCGCACGGGGAGTACGAGCACGTTCCTGTGGAGCTCCACGGCGGAGTGGGCGGGAGGGTTCGCCTTCTCTTGAAGGATGCGGGCGAGGTCGCTAGGGCGCATGCTGCTCTTCATGGACAGGTCGTCGCTATTGTGGACACGAAGATCGGCATCGAGGTGATCAACGAGCTCTTCGACCTGACCGAGAGGACGGGAAACGGGGGCATCGCGGGGGCAAGCCGACGCTGCGCTCGCCGCCGTGCCCCCGCGATGTTTTCAGACACGCCAGCGGCTACGCGCCACGATTGGGAATTCAAATATTCCGTTGCATGGGCGTGAGTGGATTCTTGGTCCTGGTCGTCATGCGGCTCCTCCCTGCCGAGGCAGGGCCGGGTCGCGCTGACCGCCCTGGCATGGGTCTCTTCCGCTATGACCCGTATGTGGCGCCGTCTTCGCCTGCGCCACCGCCATCTTCATCTGCTGCGCTTCCGATGTGGTTTCTTTCGTCTGTCAGCTCGTCTCCGGCCTTACTGACACCGAGTCTCACGCATGTGACGCCAATTTCCTCATGTACGTTATCTTATGCATACACGTTATCTTCATGTACGCCTTCGTCTGCCTGCGCGCTTGCCGCAGGTGCCCGCGCATCTTCATCCTCCTCTTCTCCGTCCTCGACGTGCTGTCCCTCGGCCAGCTCGTCGGCCCTGCCATCGGCGCCTGCGCCAGTCTCCTCGATGCCGTTTTCTTCGATGACGCTTGCTGGGAGCTTCTGCGCGGCCGCCTCTACGATCGCTGCGGCGGAGAGCCCGCCGTCCTGCGGAGGCCGCCTGCTGCCGCGCATTGCCCCCCTTCGTATTTCCCGAGGGCGCCTGCTCGCCCTGGGTGTTCTACTCAGCAGGCTGGGCGCCAAGAAGCCGTGCCAGTCGATATATACCGGCGGCCCCGTCTCCGGCGTGCTCTGGGTGACGCCCCTCCCGCTGCCATCCCAGCGGGGCTGCCGTCTGTTCTGCGCCTTCTACTGCCTCGCCAGCGCGCCGCCTCGGGCAGCCGGGGCCCGACGCCGGGCACTTGGAACGCTCGGGCCTCGTTCGCCTCCGACATGGTGCTAAGGGGCGCGGAGATGCAGTACTTGAGCTACCTCATGAATAAGATTGATGCTCCGTTGGTTACGGCATGGGGTCGCGCCCTGCGGCGCGCAACGGGCTGCGCCGGCTGGCGGGCGCCCGGCCCGACCGCGGGACACGCGGGCGCGGGCGTCGTCGTCAAGAACTCGTTCCTCGAGCACTTCGACGCTGTCCCGGCCTCGGCCCGGGCAGTCATCTGGAGAGGCAAAGCTGCTAAGCTGTCCCTCCGGGGGGCTTCGGGGGCCTTGGACTTGGCGGTTGCTTACTTCCACGCGGGATCGGCGATGACTGAACTGGACCTTTACGACGTCCGCCCATCAGGGCGTTCCAGGTGCCTTGGCTTTCCGGGTCTCCGCGCCTGTTTACGCTCTCGGCTTGCTAGCCGCATCGCGCCTGCCAGGAATGCCTCGACAGCTTTGGGGGGCGACTTCAACTGCGCTGCGGAGGAGACCGGCAGGCGGTCCCTCACTGCGGTTCGCTGCTCTGGCGGTCGGGGCCAGGGTGAGGAGCGCCATTTCGGGTCGCTTCTGGGGGTTCCATTCGACTTGCACGAGATGCACCAGAACGAGCGCGCCCACGCCTCGGCTCGCCCCCGCTCGCGCCTGGACCGCATTTACCGGAGCCAGCGCGCCGCGGAGCAGCTGGGCCGACACATGTCCTGCTGTGCTCTGGCTTGGAAGCCTGCGCTGTCAGCTCGCTCCTCTCCCGGTAGTCCCCGCAGAGGCTGTCGGAGCATCTGCGCCCCATCTCCGACCAAGCTCTGCGCCATGGCGATTTCGAGCGCCGTGTCGACGTGGAGCACGGCCAGCGGCTGCGGGACCACCCCGGCGACGCCAGCATCCAGAAGCTCGCCCACTTGAAGGCGGCGATGCGGCAGGTCGTCCGCAGCCTGGAACGAGATTGGGTTGGCTGCCCGTCTGCAGAGACGCCGGGGGGCCGCCTCGGAGTCAAGCTCCGCTTTTTCCGGGCATTGGAGCGGGGCTGGTTAGGTGAGGTCTCGAGTTGCCTTCACATGCGCCCCCGCCTCTGGGAGCTGGTCGCTGACCCTTGCGACTTCGACGGCAACGTCGCGGTGGAGCCCCTGCAGATCCGGGGCCGCGCCGTCGAGCTTGCCGGGGGCCACGCCTTGGGCGACTTAGGCAAATCTCACGCGGACCTCACCGGCGGCAATGAACTTCAGGCTGCTCGGGCGCGCTCTCGCAACGCGCGCGCCTCATATTCCGGCTTCGCCCAGGCCGCTTTGCGACGGTGCATTCTGTCATGGTCCAGAGCGGGGGGCAGAGGGCCACGCCCGCGGGGATAGCAGAAGCCCTGCAGAAGCTCTGGGGGGGGGGCAAGGTCTTCAAGAGGAAGGGGTTCGACGCTTCCAAGATGGAGGAGTGGCTGGCGGAGGACGCAGACCACCGTCCATTAGCTCATTTCGCGCCGCGCTCGAGCCGCGGCTTCCGCCTCCAGAAGAAGCGCATCGATCAGCAAGCGATCCGCTGTCCAAGAGCTCTTCCCCGGGCCTGAATGGCATCCCATGTCTGGCGCGGCGGCGCATCGAGAAGTTGCCTGTGGACGTGTTGCACGAGACTTTCAGCGACATCTGCGGGGGGAGACGGGCCCAGCCGACTGGCAGAGTCCGGCAGGGATTCCAACCGCAGCTTGCTGTTCTTCATTCCAACGGGCCCCCTGGGGCGGTCCGCGCAGGATGAACTTTACCGGGCCGTGGACAAGGTGCGCCCGCGGAACGTAACCAACGTCAACAAACGATTGTTGGCCAACGCGGTGCGGCTGGTGGTCGAGGACGCCGCGGTGGACAGGATTCCCACCTCACAGAGGGGCTTTCTGCCAGGGAGATAGATCGATGCTTTCCAATGTCGTGGACGTGGATGAGGGCATGGCAGAGCACTACTTGACCGAGCCCACGTCGGCAGCCATCTTTTTTGATTTCGAGGCGGCCTTCCCGTCCATCGAGCGCGGCTTCATGCTTCGCTCGTTTCGCCACTACGGTTGGCCCGATTGGCTCATGCGTTTCGTCGGCGCACTCTAGCAGGACAACTTTGCGAGATCGTGATGATTGGGGCGCGCTCTTCCATATTCGAACTGTCTCGAGGAGTTCGGCAGGGGCGCCCGCTATCTCCGCTGCTTTTTTCCGTCGCGCCGGACTTGCTCTGTCGCCGTCTGCAGCGACTCGCCCCCGCAGCGCTCATCGGGGCCCACGCTGATGACCTGGTCGTCGTGGTTGCTCGTGTGCTAGAGAGGCTTCCGATGCTTCGCCGCTTGTTTGACGAGTTACGAGATTGTCTGGAATGCGTCTCAATTTGAAGAAGTGCGTCGTCTTTCCGCTGCTCGCGCACGCCGCGCTGGACCTCCGCGCGGCGGTTGCCGCGCGCGCGCCAGCTTGGGGAACAACGGCAATCAAGGACAACGCAAAGTATATCGGCTTCGTTTTGGGCCCTGGGGCAGGCGAGGACTCCTGGCTCGGACCTATGGCGAAGATGGTGGACAGGGCCACTACGCGGGGCGCCCTCGGCCCTGGCGTTTTCTTCACATGCGAGGCATTTCGCGTCTTCATTGCTGCGGTTGTCATGCTCGTCGCCCAACTTCGATCGCTGCCAGAGGCCTTCGGCGCTGCCGAAAACCGGGCCTGCTCGAAGCTTTTCCCGGGCCCGAGCTCGTGGACAACCTTTGCATTCATGGCCCAGCTGAAGAACATTGGTTTCCCGCGCGAGCTCATGGACGTCCGCTGCGCAGCGATTGCCGCGCAGGCCAGGGTCGCGCACTTCGAGGACATCCGACACGGTGGCCTGCGGGTGCGAGAACGAGCCCGACTTCTCCGGGAGCTGATGCTCGGCGACGAGAGGGGGGCGCTACTGCCCGGAGTGAGCGCGCGGCTGGAGAATAACACCGCGTTTGTCCTGCAGGCGGCAGGGGAGCACGTGCGCGACGCAGAACGTCGCCACGGACTTCCTCCGACCCGCGCGGCCTCGACGCCGTGCAAGCTCAAGGTGAAGGCGCCCTGGCAGGCCACGCGCGCGCGGGCGCTGCTGGCGAATCGCCCCCGGGCCCCGGCCGACGCGCCGATCCGCCGGAAGCTGGACCTCTGGCCCGTGGAGATGCCCAACGGTAGCCAGGTGAGGCGTTTCTTGATTCGCATGCAGGAGCTGGGCAAGGCTGCCCCCCCGTGCGTGCTGGCCGTTGCCTTGCGCACTTCTTTTAACGGCTGGCTCGCGGCCAGGCGCTTCCAACAGCGGGGGCCCTGCGCCTTCGGGTGCGCTTCAGGCAGCGATTGCATCAGACACTACGCGCATTGCGGCTTTGATCGCAGATGGTGCGCAGAGCAATGTGCTCTTACTCGCCCTGCGGCTTTCCGGTGTCTGCTCAAATTTCTGGGCCTAACTGTTTCGATTGGCTCTGAGTGGGCTGATAATGCGCGCGCAAGTGCGGAGCTGGACCTGCTTCGCGCGTGCTGCGTTTACGCTCTGTGCAATGCGCATGACTTGGCAATCCGGCACCGCGCCGCTTCGAGCTCGGATGCCGGTTTTTTCTTCGCTGCTGCTCTCCGGGAGGCGTGCAAGAGCCAACCGCTCAGCAGTTTGCACCAGCGCTCGAGGACTCGACGGCGAAGCTAGGAGTATGCTTTTGCAGCGCTTGCAGGACAGCCCGCTCGCGGTCCTTCTCCTCCTCCTCCTCCTCCTGCTCCCCCTCCTCCTCCGTAGCCATTTTGGCTCAGGCCAGTTTGGCTCAAGGTCCCAAGTTCCTCAGGGGAACAAGTGGATACCGCTAGTCCGCGGCGGGCAAGACCCTTGTGGTCTGGCAGATATTTGCATCGTTCCGCGCTCGGGTTGGTGGGAAAACGGAGGCGTTTCCCGTTCCTGCCTGCTCGAGCGCCCTTGGTTCCTCAACCGCTGCACATTCTCGTCCGCTCGCTGCTGGCAACCCACGCGGAGCGATGGAGCTTCTGATCCCAGCCGCAGTTGCAGAGGGGCATGAGCCCGTCGCCGACTCTGGGAGGATAAAACTCGTCGTTGCCGAGGTCGACGCTGCGAGCCATCATCGTCGGATTCTTGCGGCGGGGACTTTGAGCTTCGTCAGCGCGACGCACGTGCCGATGACCGCTGTTATGCGAGCGCTCCTTCTCATGGCGATGGCGACCACCGTGCCCCTGGCGCTGTGGACTACCCGCGGCTCACTCAGGGCCTCGCGAGTGAGATTGAGGCTGCGCCCAAGTTCCCCGAGCACGAAGAGCGCGGCGAACGAGCTGTTCATCCGCATGGGGCGGACCAAGGGTGCCGGGCACATGCGCCAGCTGGTGGACCTGCCCTCCCTGCTGGGACTCACGGCGGTGCCGCTCCTGCTCCTGATGCTAGTGACGGCTCTGCCGCAAGTGGGATCGAAGCTGCGGTCGCGGCTGCGTACTCGCATCAGAGGGATGGGATCCGCATCGAGATCAGCAACATCATGGACCCCGCGCATCGGGACATGCGCACCACGGTGGTGGGCCTCCTGCAGCCCCAGATTGCTCGTCTCAACAATCACGACAGCGAGATTTATCAACTTCAGGAGCGGACTACGGCCGCTGAGGCGCAGCAAGGTGCTCCCCATGCTGACATGGATGTGGTGCATCGATCGCTGGCGAAGGTACGGGTTGCAGAGTCTGGCGAAGTATACTTGGCGCGACTGGCATAGTACGACAGGCCACCTGACCCGAGTGTCTTCAGGACGGGATGGCCCCAGGCGTCCGCCAACAGCGAGATCAAGAAGGGCGTCTCGCAGTGGATCAGGGACGCGGGCATTACCGACGATCAGTTCGCGTTCCACGGTCAGTGCCCTGGCAAAGTTTTCTACCCTCATCCTCCTGGGGGTGCTCCTGGTGTGGCGCGGGCGATCAAGCTCGCCCAGCATCTCCAACTACCTGGTGGGACCTGGCGGCGGCCCACAGCAGTGGCAGTCAGCGGCGCGACCGATGCGATGTACGTCAACCCAGACAAGGAGCCCAAGCAAGTGCGAAAGGAAATGCAAGCTAGAAGTGTGTTGTCATCCCTTCAACGGCATTATCCAGACAGGGACTGGCGGCCTCTTCGAACACGTAGTCTCACTTGCGCCGACGCCGTCCCGATTGTCGAGGTCCTCTCTCAGGGTGCAACTGAAGCAACAAAACTGGCGTGGTCCCCAGATGGAGCGGCTCAATTTCATATCAATACCTTGCATATGGCAGAGGATTTCAGGCAACAGTTCTCGGGTGTGGACGCTTTAGCTTGGACTCCTTTCTAGCAGGCGCTGGTTTCCCTGGGAGATTGAACAGCATATGTCGCAAGAGCTTCGTGCGGTCTGCTGGAACGCCAGGGGCCTGTGCTGCTACAATCACAAATATATTCGACAGAAGTTCGCCATACTCAAACATCTTCTCTTGTGTCGCCATGCCATCCTGTCTCAAGAAGTTCGCCGAGAAGTACCTGCATATCGGCCCCGACAACCTGGTATACCTGACGCACCAGTCGGAGTACCGCGAGTTGGTGATGCGGCCCAGCCAGGAGCGCTTCGACGTGATGGCGCAGCAAGCAGCGAGGCCCGCAGCGAGGCGGCCTCGCCCTGGACAGGGTGATGATCACCCTGCTGGACCCACGGACGTGGTCAAGCTCCAGCGGACTTCGACGCGGCAGGCGCTAGCGCGGAACCCGACCAGGCGACATCTCCCCTTCCACGGTTTCAAGCACATGCACGACGGGAACGTTGAGGTGGAGTGCAACGCGACCGCCATGGCTGGCTTGATCAAGCAGCACTGGGAGCCCATCTACGCGGAGGCCTCGCGCTCTGAGTTGAAGCCCCCGCTGACCTCACTGAGTGTGTGCGGGATGCAGTCTGCCTCAGGTATGCCCCAGGGATGTCCACTGAGTGGCACATTGCGGGCCCTGGGCATGGACCCGGCTTGTAGGCACCTGGCCGTAGCATGTGAGCGAGGCTCGCAGGCCCTGGGGCCCGTGCCCTGGCCAGCAGGCTCGAGAGTAGAGCGAATCGAGCAGATTGCCCCCTCCCCTCCCCTCTGCCTCTGTGCTGGTGCCTTTGCTGATGATGATTTCTCCCTCCTGCCTCTCCTCCACCGCTCAATTCAAGCTGCTTCTGGTCTTGCCTGCCTGGATCACCAGCCCAAGAAATGCTGTATTGTCTCAACCAGGGCAACTCTCTCTGAAGCGGAGGTAACCGTGCCTCGAGCTGCCGCGTCGGCCCTGGTCCCTGAATGGCCTGAGCTTGAGATCTGCAGCTTCTGACGTTACCTCGGGATCCAAGATGGCCCAGGAGCGACGGCGCAGGACCAGGAAGCCCCTGGCGGACAGAAGTGATGGGCCCGCTGCCGAATGGTAGCAGGCGCGCGTGCCCCTACTGATGCATGCCTGCGCCTTTATCGTCTCCTCATTCTCCCCTGTCTCTCGCACGTTGCCCAGCTCTCTTTCCCCCCCCCCCGCCCATCCTTCAAAAAAAGAGGCGCATGCTCTGCATAAGCTGCTTAGATTGCCACCCTCGTCCTTCGGGTTAAAGGAGCTGCACTCGCTCCGTGGGCTCTGCGCACCTGAGCCCACGCAGTACCCTCACCTCTCGTGCGTCTGGCGGGCTGCAGGACACACGTACAGGGGCTGGCGGGGTGCATGGCAGCGTCTCCAGCTCAGAGCTTCGGCCGAGGGATCCCTTCGGCGTGTCCTGGCAGGAAAATGGTGCGCTCCGTGCTGGAGGATCCAGGAGAGCATAGTTCATCGACTCTCTACCTGTTTCTCTCCCCCATCCGTCCTCTGACCCTGGTTCCCTCACTCGGCTCACCCTTGCTCGCTCCATCCTCGTAAAAATGCATGCCGATCCGAATGCAGAAGCGGAGCTGGCCCTCTCGCGCCATAAACCTTCGCGGCTCCATGCGCAACATTTTCGGGGCCCCCAATTGCTATGCATCCCCGAGGGCAGGCCCCCGCCTATTCCGCGGCGCATGTCCAAGAACATTTTACTTCAGAGCACGCGCCGACTCGGATGCCAAGGTTCGGACGGCATCGCTCATTTCATAATGTGCCCACCCACGTGGGCTGCGCCCCCCCCCCCCCTCCCAAAGCCACGTCATCCCCCCCCCCCCCCCGTTTCTTGGGCTCGTCTCGGGTTGGGGGGCGAGTCCGGCTATGACGGCTTGGAGGGTGGCAGACAGCGGGCCCGCGAGTTGGTGTCCGTTTGCTTCCACAGTTTCCACTTGCTGCGGAGCGTTCTGCAGCCTATGCCCGGCCCGCCGCCTCGGCCGCGCAGGTCGCTCAGGTGCGCGCCGCGGCCCGCGCCGCCCTCTCATTACAATCGCAGCACAGATCTCCCCAAGGTACGTGCGCGCCTCCTCCTCCTCCTCCTCCTCCTCGAGAGCATTTTGCCCTCGGCCAGCCCTCGCCTCACCGCGGCACTTGAAGGGCGCCGAGTGGTGCAGTGTGCGCACACAACTCTACCCTTTGGTTGACGAAGAAGGGCATGCACCTCTTTTCCTTTCTCTCCACACACGCATGGCAGCACGCTTGTGGAACCGTTGTCGCGGCTGCGGGCAGCATGAATGAAACGACGCCCTCGAGCGGAATGGCAGATCTTGCTCCAAGTGTCATCGCACAGTACGACTCCATGTCAGCCGCTCCAAGCCTCCAGGAACCAAGCGTGTTAGTTTCGAGGATCAGAAGGCACCTCAGGGCGGCCCAGGCGTCGCCCCGAAGACCATCCTGATGTCGAACTCTGCCGTCAGCGAAGTCGATGTCGGAGCCCTGGAGCACCTGGTCAGTGCGATCAAGGCCACCCACGACCCCCCGTCATCAAGAATGCCCTGCAGCTTGAGTACGCGAAGCTGGAGAGTCTCCGAGTTCGGGAGGCGGCCGATCAGGGCGCAGCCGCCGAGGCGGTCCGCAGGGCCGACGCGGCCTGGCGCGACGCCGACACCAAGCACTCCCAGGCGGTGGCGTCGGCGACGCGCCTGAGAGGACTACTTTCTGCAGCGGGGGCCAAGGGGCGGGCGGCAGCGTTGCACCTCGCCAGCGCTGCGGCAGCGAAGCAGGCGGCCGCCCGCCGACTGGCGCAGGCCGAGGGTGTTGTCCAGGGCGGCACCTCCTCCAGGCTGTTCCAGCTCTCCTGGGGCGA